GCTGAGTCTCTCTGTGTTGCGTTTGTTCCTCACCTAACGGAAGGTTAACATGAAGTAGCAGTGTTCCGCGCTACTTTGTCCGCTAGATGCAAGCACATGTTTATTACAGTCAGAAGTGGAGGGAGAATTAAGAAAGTGAACCATTGCTTAAGTCTTAAGAGGTGTAATTCAGAAAATGAGAGATCCATCAGGAACATATACGAGTGATCATCATTATACAATTGATCAGTCACCTGCCAACCATCATTATACAATTGGTTATTCTCTCACTGTAGTGTACTGATAGCATCTGATTGTGAGTGAAATTTCTTCATGGTCGTGATCCAACCGACATAACTTTTCATCATTCCAACAGTCGGAATTTCGACCGATATTCCAAACTGCTTGATCGGAGTCCAATCGTCGGGATTCCGACCGAAATTGTCGGATTTTTCCGAGCGTTGGTCGAATTGCATCACTACTGAAGCGTTTAGATCCGTATTAATCACGTACACGATCATATATCAAAAGGCTCTACACTTTCACTAATGCCGTTTTGAACGTTCTTGTGTGTGCAGTGCGGTATGGTAGCACACTCATATCATTTCTTGTCATAAGTTACAATGTGCAGTTCAGTCTTCAGAATTCACGGCCTTAGGTTCTATTTGTTTTCACACTCAAGGCACGATCGACAATTGTGTTGATGGTACGTAATTCATTGATAGTTGACAGTGATGTGCAGGAGTATGTTTCAAAATTTTAAGATATTTTATTCTTAGATGTCTAATTTGATGTTTTTTTGTATGTTTTTCATTCATCCATTACTGAATGCTGCCTCGTTTTTAGAATTTTTTTCGATCAAATGCTAAGGTCCACAAGGAATGATATGAAAGGCAAAATCCCCACTGAAAGACGATCATTTTAAAGTGGTAGCAATGGATATTCCTATCGTGACACCAATTATCAATTCAACAACTTATACTACGAATTGAACAACAACTTATACTTTAACAACTCCTGCTAAGATGCACCCGTCAGAATTGTTTTATCAAATCGATATTTACGACGAACCAGTCAACTGCGCAACAAGGCGCCCAGGCCAATTCGAAGAGTTATGCTTTTTTGAAATTTTTAAAGATTATCTCACAATCAGGAAATTAGTAGATGAATCGCAGTTGAATGATCACATTTTTCATTATTTGTTTTTTTAAGTTGGAATCTAAAGGAAGTGAATAAAAATCGAGTCGTGATCAGTGAGCAGTTTTTTTTTTGCATATTTGTTTCCTAATTCCATATTTAATTTGCGAATTTAACTATATTTGTTAATATGTATTATATCAATGTAAATGGTTTTCATTTATAAACATTACATTAGTTATATTGAATTTAGGTATAAGATGAATGTGTGACAAAATCTTAAGTGTGATTGCGATTTGCTGGTGAGGTTCAGGCTAGGAACTTTGATCCTGACTAGGGTTTGCACGGGATCCCGGGATTACAGTTCTGATCCCGATCCCGGGATTTAAGTTTTGAAAAATCCCGGGATTTCGGGATTTGATAAATCAGGTCAATTTGTGTGATTTTTGATAGTATGCCCATCTTGAAGCAAACCTTAATCATTCCCATCTAATTTATATGCACTAATCTTTGCTGTTTGTCCCCTATCATTGATGTTCAGCTAAGGAAATAGACGCAATTCGGACGATTGACATGATCAACGACAGCTCGATGAACTTTTACGTAACATTTCATTGAATATTCAACTGATTATTCTGCTCTTCATTGGTTTATATCACCCTCATCTGGATGCATTTCTATGTAATA